GAAGATATAGTCTTTCTTTCTACACTTAATCACCCAGACTTTGCAGTTATGAATGTGTGCCTTGCCAAAATGTCATGCAGTTTTCCTTATTGTAACTGTCAAGATTGTTCATTTTCCAAGATCTTTAAGTTGTCTTAGAATATACTTTGGCTGGTCACTTATTAAATAAAAGTTTCGAAATTGGAATTTTGGAATTTATTTGGGCTAGAAGTTCTTCATAGTCTCATTTCAAAGTCTCTTTAAATCAATGAGAGTCTTTCTACCGAGTTTTGTACCAGCATCTGTCCATGAAAATTGCCTCCTCATCAGCAGGGCTTTAAATTTCTTTATAGCCTGTACAACAGATAACAGAATCTACAGTTTCCAGTATATAGTAGATGAAAGAGTATTTTAAACAAGAGGATACTGGAAAGTGTTTTTCTTTTAAGTGCCACAAATTTGGAAGCATGATAGTACATATATCTTTTATGTCGGAAGAATTCAAAAACTGGATTAGAAAAGATATACATTAAAAATCTCTCATATATTTGTAGAATATGTTATTTATGAATACCAGATGTAGTGATATGGTATGAAAGTTGTAACTGTACTCACCAATGAAGATGTAGAAGCAATTTCCAAGAAATGTGTGATTATCCCAAACAAATATTTGCCAAGGATTTACACTGACCTTCACTACATCTTGCTTCTGTTCACTTTTCACCAAGAAAGGTGTAGATAAAAGAATATAATATATCTGCAGCTATTTGCCAGAAAATGTAAGAATTCACTTTGTCTGGACAAACTTAATATGATCTCCTTTGATATTACATGCTCAATTAATTTTCTTCCTTGAGGTAGACAGTGCTCACTTAATAAACAGCAAAAACCCTGAAAACAACAAAACCTTTCTTTTCATGCTTTTACCTTTTTTATTGTAGAGCTCTATATAGAATTACTCATATATTTTGGTCTTTTCTACTGTACTCAGCACATATCATATAAGTCTGTTATTATTCTATAGCAAAATAGGTAGCAGTTTATTTTGAGGAGCATACAAATAACCATTTCTCATGCAGTAAATCACTGTACAGGTATGGATGCTTCTCACATTCTCCTCTTTTTTCTTCATTTCTAGACTTTATTTCTTTCCTCTATTTTTGAAGTACAGAAAATCAGTCTAACCACTGCCACAGCTCCTGCAGAAATTCCACAAATTAGGTTTTCAGCTTTCTCTCAAATAAGAGTTGATATCTTTTTTGTTTCTTGTTGGAGCTAATCACTGCTTGGCACTAGTTGCTCCAACATTATTTGTAATCATTCTCTTTTTTCCTATAGATTCTTCCAAAATGGGATATGCCTCAACCCTATCTCTTTCATACGCAACCCTGCATTCTCTAATTGTGAAATTAATCTTCATATGAAAGCTTACACCAAGTACTGTTTATCCTGATTTAGAATGTAAGACGATATACAAAAATCTGTAAAAGTTTTCTACATAGCAGTGAAATTTTCTATGATAATCTGAAAAGTATTTATGAGTGCTAAATCTCTCTGATTGTTATATTTTAATAGTTTCTCCCTTTTGTTTTAATTTAAATCATAGGCAGCACTAACTTTAATTGAGCAAGTTGAAGCTGAACAAAGTGCCTTGTATCACAGTCTCAAAGAAGTTATGAGCAGCAAGAAAAAAAGCAGAACTCCTCCTCCTCCTCTTTTACTTTCTAGATCACATTGTTCCATGACATTTAAACCAGCTCCGTTCTCTTCAGATATTCAGGTAATGTTTTTCATGATGACTGCATGAGAAATAACTAAAAAATACACAAGAGGAAAAGTTGTTTCAGCAGTGCTGTAGCATCACATTTTTCTCTGTTCTTAAGATTATGTTATTCTGACTTAATTAAGTATCCTTTTTCCCCCCCTCTTTGAGTCAATTGTGACTCACTGTTTTGATCTTCAGATTTATATGAAACTTTCTTAATGTAGTGCATCATGTTTCTTGGTGCTTCTGTTGTCTAACACTTATTTATTCCACTTACCAAAAGCTCATTTACTTGCTTGGGGGCTGATATACTCCTAGTTACCTTCTGAAGAGATGCAAGACTGTTGCATCATATGATGCAAGAAAGTACCACGCTGAAGTCTCTGTTTATGAAGTGTTGAAGTGACGTAGTTCAGGTGGAAAAGTTTACTTTCTGTTGAACATGTAGAGTCACAGAACTATGCAGATCATAAGGGATTTTAGGAGAGGTCTCTAGTCCAACCTTCTGCTCAAAGTAGGGTTGGCTGTGAGATTAGACCGGGTTGCTCAGGGCTTTATGCAGTCATTTCTGAAAACAAGAGATTGAACAGCTTCTCTAGGCAATGTGTTCCAACAGGGCAACATGTTCATAGGGAAAACTCTTTATCATAGGTACAGTTGGAATCTTCCTTGCTTCAGTCTAAGTCTATTGATTTTCATCCTCCTAGCATGCACTACCGTGAAAAGTAAATGGCATCTACTTATCTCCCTTCCTCTGCTAATCAAGTAGTTTTGTCACAGAGGCCCATCCTGGTGATCAGATGTGATTTGCCTTTGGTAAATCCATGGTGACTGTTCCATGTCCAGAAAGGGTTCAAAAAGGCTGAATACACTAGCTACACTCAAATCTTATTAATAATGGTAAGAATGCTTCTGTGAACAGTTCTTTTATAACTTGCTGTTTTATTGCAGTTTTATTAGTAAATTTCAAATTAATGACTTAGGGAAAAGTTAATCCTTTTTATCCTTAAGGAGTATAAAATAAAATTTTAAAAAATCTTTAAAATTCAGTAGTTCATTTGTTTTAGTAAATTTTCAAACTTCATTTTGTTTGATACAGGAGAATGAATGCAACATATTGGGCCACTAGATGGCAGAATATGATTACTATTCTTATAATATATTATTCTTATATATTATTATTCTTGTAATTCTTATATCCAGATAGTCTAGAAGAATTTTTTTTTCTAAAGTTATGTTGAGCAGACATGAGAGGTATTTTTAATGAAGAAATGATTAACTGGATACTTAGGATTACTAGTTTCTTAGCATAAATGTATACCCAGGATTTAATTGGACCTATATAGTTCTTGTACTAGGAGTCAAAATATCTCTAAAATTTTCTGATATTAAAGCTCTTACTGAAAATAATCTTCTCAATTTCAATAACTCCTTCTGAAAAACAGTCAGTATTCATTGTAAGACAAATTTTCTTAGAGCTCAAGAGCTCTTTCTCCAGGTGTGGAAATCAAGCAAGGCAGGATGGAAACCAGCATGGCTGAGCAAGGATCTGCACAGCCAGTGGAGCCAGGGACAGATGACCTTTGGAGAGCAGAAGGATATGGTTTGAATGTGTAAGGATGGGGTCAGAAAAGCCAAGGCAAAGCTGGAACGGGACTTGGTGAGGGACGTGAAGAATAACAAGAAGGGATTCTATAAGTACATAGGTCAGAAAAAAAAGGCCAAGGAGAGTGCACTTCCCCTGATAATCAAGAAGGGTAAACTGGTGGCGACTGATATGGAGAAGGCTAAGGTACTCAGTGAGTTCTTTGCCTCAGTCTTCACTGGCAGTGAAGCTTCCCGCTTCTCTCAAGTTCCTGATCCTCTGGGTGTGTGTGGGAGGAGTGAAATCCCTCCCACGGTAAGCAAAGAGCAGGTTAAGGATGGCTTGTTGAAGCTGATTAGCCACAAGTCTGTTGGACCTGATGATGGGCATCCCAGGGTCCTGAGGGAACGGGCTGATGTTGTTGCCAAGCCACTCTCCATCATATTTTAAAAGTCATGGCACTCAGGCAAAGGCCTCAGCTACTGGAAAAAAAGAAACATTGCTCCTGCTTTTTAAAAGGGAGAAAGGATGATCCATGTGACTACAGACTGGTGAGCCTCACCTCTGTGCCTGGGAAGATCACAGAGCAGATCCTCCTAGAAGACGTGCTAAGGCACATAAAAGACAAGGAGGTGATCCAGGGCATCCAGCACGGCTTTACCAAGGGCAAACGGTGCCTGACCAATCTGGTGCCCTTCTGTGGTGGAGGGATGGCAATGGCCAACAAGGGAAGACCGACAGATGTCATCTATCTAGGCTTCAGTAAGGCCTTTGATACTTTGTAAAAGATTGGAAAGTGTAGATGATATGCCCAATGAGCTTATAAGCAGCTGAATGGCATTAAAAGACATTGATTTCAGTAGGAGCTAAGAACATGGCTCGTTTGGAAAATATTACTGCATCGCTTCATATCTGCATTTCTTTTGCCTGATTTTAAGGATCTGTCCACAAGTAGTTTGCTGAATCAGAACCTGATGCCAGCTTTAGAAGAATACCAATCTTCTCCATCAAATAATGCATCTAGGTGCCATCAAATCCACGGGATGAACTACAGAGTTTGTGCTTTGCTATAGCTTTGAGGAATAGCGTAGCTCAGGGTAGGGAATAGGATAGTGGAGGGTAATCTGCTTTTGTTGCCACTGTAGTTGTAGTGGGTTGACCCTGGCTAGATGCCAGGTAGCCACTAAAGCTGCTCTCTCACTCCCCTCTGCAACTGGACAGAGGAGAGAAAAAAAAACAGCAAAGGATTCATGAGTTGAGATAAGAGGTGGGAGAGGTCACTTACTGATCACCATCACAGGCAAAACAGACTCTTACTAACAGGGTCAGAGCAAAAGAGTGAGAAGTAAAATAATCTTAAAAACACTTTCCCTCCACCCCTCCTTCCTTCCATGTTCTCCCTCCTCCCCTCCAGCGGTGCAGGGGGACGAGGAGTGGAGGTTACGATCAGTTGTTGTTTCTGTTGCTACTCAGGGAGAGGAGTCCTTCCCCTGCTCCCGTGGGGTCCCTCCCATGGGAGACAGTCCTTGATGGATCTCTCTGGCATGAGTCCATCCCTCAGGCAGCAGTTTTTCCCAAACTGCTGTCCCGTGGGTCACTCCTCCATGGGGTGCAGTCCTTCACAAATGAGCTGTACCAACGTGGGTCCCCCACAGGGGCCACAAGTCTTACCCAGGAAAAAACCTGCTCCAGCATGGGCTTCCCTCTCCAAGGGCTACAGGTCTCCAGCAGGACCCTGCTCCATCTTGAGGCTCCCATGGGGTCACAGCCTCCTTTGGATATCCACCTTCTCCAGCATGGGCTCCTCCATGGGCTGCAGGTGGGTCTCTGCACCCTGATGGTCCTTCATGGGCTGCAGGGTCACAGCTGCTCCACCATGGTCTGCACCACGGGCTGCAGGGGCCTCAGCTCCAGTGCGTCCTGCCCCTCCTTCTGCACTGACCTTGGTGTCTACATTGTTTCCCATGTTCTCATTCTGCTCTTCCCTGGCTGGAATTCTTTCTGTGCAACAACCCTCTGTTCTTAAATATGTTATCACAGAGGCATTACTGTTACTCCTAATTGGCTCGGCCTTGGCCAGCGGCAGGAAGTCCGTCCTGGAGCCGGCTGACATTGGCTCCACTGGACAGGGGAAGCTTCCAGCAGCTTCTAACAGAAGCCCCCCCTGTAGCCCCCCCGCTATCAAAACCCAGCCACAGAAACCCACCATACTGGTTTATCTAGTTCTCCAGCTAAATAAATTAATTGATGTTTCTAGTGCAGTTAGATTATACTTTTTTATAACTAAGGTGGGTTTTTTTTGCAGAGACTGTTTTCACAAAATTTGTACATTCTACACTATGCAGAAGTTGGAAATAGTATGGTGTATCAACAAATTTTGTTCTCATTTTCTTCAAAGGTTTCATGGTACAGTATTTTTGGCTCTGTAGCAGGAGGAAAGAATATGAAAGTAAGGTTGAATAACAATAAACTTCCAAATTCAGGAGAACAGGTAAGACAGAGGTAAAACTTGTTTAGGTCATACTCTCTTCCACTAAAAAACATCAACTTTCTAAATCTGTATATCTGACATATATTTTAATCATGTAACTGGCCAAGCATTTGACAAACTTTTTGATCTTTACACCAAAAAACTTCTAAGAATCTTTTTTGAATAATAAATTATTCAAAAACTTAAAGTTAAGCAAGTCTCTGTCCCTTCTGTTATAATTTTGTTCTTTTGAGTGATAACTAAGAAATGCAAAAGTAAAAGAAAGTATATTGTGTATTTTTATACTGTGCTTCAGACACTACTCTCTCCAGGAATTCAAAAAAAGAGAAATTATAAATGGATAAAAAAGTTATTATTTTTCTTAATTGCATAACTTCTAGCAGCCATTTCTTCTTAACCAGATATTGCCTTACTTAATTCTGACAACATGATAATGTAAGTCCTTCAATAACCTACAGGTTCAGACATGATTGACTTGTAGGTTCATGCTTTTTCCTTTCCATGCTGTGAGCACGATTGATCATGTTGACTGTGTTGGTAGTTTTTTCATTATAATTTGATGCTTAATTTTTTGAAAACTTTTTGTTTTGTTGTTGTCGTTTGGGTTTTTTTGTTTTGTTTTTGTTTTTCCTTAGTGTAGTTTTGTTCTTTTTTCTTTGGATCACATTCTGCTGTTTCTGCACAGACAAGAGAGAGTTCTGGTTTTCCTTCACTTATGCATGCTATTAGATTGTCCTCCTGAATGACGACTGTGATCCACCCAAATACTGTGATTTAAGAAGGGGGCAAAAAAGCTTCAACATATCCTTTTCAGCAGATTTTTCTGTAGTCTCAGACCTGAGTGATCATTTTTATATCTGGAAATCTTCATGGAGAGTTCTGTTCTTTGCAGAGCAGGTCCTGAAAGGACCTGGGATATCCTCTGCCCATATCTGATACAAGAAGGTGGCATGTATGGAGGAGAGCAATATGCTCTTCCTCTGGAAGCACAGCTCAGGGCCAGAATGTTTCCAGCTCAATGACTGCAAGCATGCACAATCACAGTGTGAATGTTCAAATGGACAAAAGTGTCTTAGAAAAAGTCCAGCTCCTGATACTTAACTGTTCTCTTAGGTTATGTGTTCTGTGTATGCAACAGCATTCCAGAGAAAACTGATACTTTTTTCACATATCATTTCACTGTTTTCTCATTGTTTTCAAGAACCTAGTATTACATGGAAACATTACAATCTAGATTGCATTTTGGATCAAAGATCATTGAATAATTTTTTTAACAATAAAAGTTTAGAACATGAGATTTGTTTTTGCTATGTACAGCAGGTGTAACTAGAACATGTTTTTATTGGTAGATACCAGCTGATGGGAAGAGCCTCTTGGAAATACAGGGCTTAGATGCCAATGAGAAATATGTATTTGCAGTTGCAGCATATTCTTCTGATGGAAAACTTATTGGTGAAATTGGGGAAATGACTAAGCCAATCCTTGCTTATCCACCCCTTTCTGCTACTACTGCTCGATCCTATCTAACTCAGGTAGGGTTTGAGTCTGATAATAAACACATAATTTAATTTGGTTGTAATTACTTGTTGTTACTGGTAGCTCTAAAACTGAACTGCCTCTGGTAAAAACTCAAGACCTTCTTGTGATAGGCAAAAATCATGATTTCAGCATAAAAAATCGTGTATCTGAGTAACTCAATTCTCAATTCATAATTATTGAAAATTCCATGTTAAGGGTAAAGGACTCTCTCAGATAGTTTTCTTACCTCTGTCCCTGTTTTTCAGTCTGCATTTAACTTCTTTCTTCTTTTTCATAGTTTATTTTTTCATTTTTGTGATTGAGACCACGTACTAGTAATCATCTTATTAGTCATTAAGGTATGGCATGAAAAATGTGATTGGACTTACCAGGTATCAAAGCTAACCATTTTCATATTGAAATTAGTTTTGTAATGTCTTGTGGAAGATCACAAAGACTTTTTCAGACCTTCATCATAATTTTCTGTGTTCTTAATAAAGTATATTTAAAATAGAATTTAACATGGAGAAAAATTAAATTGTCTAGCCCTATAGATAGATTGTGGGGAATGATTAGAGGATTTCCTAAAATATTCCAGAGTAAGAATTTGTGCCTACTTGTTTGGCTTTGTTTACATCCCATTATCCAGAGAAGCAGGGCATTCTGCACTATTAGTGAAAGTAAAATAAACTTAGATGAAATAATATGCTTTCAAAAACTGCAACACGAGACCTGTGAAGTATTCCACAAAGTGAACTTAGATCCTTGGTCCACAGTCAAGAAGCTCTTTTGCTTTCTCTGATGCTAAATCTGAACCAAACTAATATTAATAGAATCAGATTATTACTACATGTGTTTTATTAAAATATGCCAGAATATTCTTAGAGAAATTGTATTTTTTCATGTTGGGGGGGAGTTTTAAAACCTTCATTATACTGTAATCATATCTGCACGGTTATTTGATGAACATGTCAACTCGCTAAGTTTTGTTTGTTTGTTTTGTAGGTAGCCTATCAGACTGGAAACTTTAGGTTAGCCAGAGAAGCATTTTCACCAGTGTGGGATTATTTTGTTTTAAATTCTTCTCCACTGCCTACCAATGCAGCTGTTATTTCTGCAAGTACTAATTTGACTATATCTGAAAAAAGGTAATTGGTGAAAACAAAATTAAAATAATAGTTAATTATAGATATGCACATTTTATTTTAAAGAGTTCCAGGTTGTGCAATTTTGCTAAGGCTTATGAAAAGAAAAACATTCTGAAAAAAGAAGCGTGAAATGTGTTATAAAAATATAGTGGTTTATAATTAGCAGAGGATTTTTGCTATTTATGGAACGGCTAAGATTTACACACCTAATTCTTTATAATGACTGCTTTCTTAAGATAATTGGGAAACATATAAAGTGGGTGCTAGTTTTGTGTGATGCATTTTCATATGCAAAATGTATAATATGCACTGGGTTATTAATTTTTCGATTAAGAGAGCAGTAGAGTTCAGAAATTGTGAAAATTTTGTCAAGAACACCACTCAAAATAGGTAAATGCTTGCTAATTTTGTTTTGGAGTGGCTATATAATTTGCCAATAACCTTTGCATATAATAAAAGGGCTTTAGAAGAGATATTTAAAATTAATTCTTTTATAAATAAATTTCAAATGTTCAACCATAATATTACAGGTTTTTCATGATGACAAAGCCCAACTAGAAGTTTTGTGCTTGCATTTACTGAAATTCAATAGATCCAGAATCAAAATACATCAAAACTTAATTTACTCCCAGATAAAAGATATTTTTGTTAAGTAATAAACATGAAATATTGTAATAAAATAATTTTAGTTGTAAGTCAACTATTTGTTATTTTGAAAATTAATTAACATCCAGTAGAATTGAACACAAATAATCATCTTCACTTGTATGTAATTCTTTTAAAACTAATTCTTTCATTAGAAAAGTTTTGGCGAAGTTGTGGAGGAGGTACAGAAAAGTTTCACAGCATCTCTGTTTCAGTTTGACAGACTGGCTTAGTCTTGAAATTGTAATGACAAGAAGCAACTTTATTGCATGTGTATTAATAGTTCTTGAATGTTTCAAGAATTAAAGAAATAAAGATCTTTGTTTTGAGAAATAGGTATTAGAGAGATTTCCTCTAAGCTTTGTCAGAATACTTCCATTTCCTCTTTACGCACAGAATAACCAGTAATCAGCTATTCTGAGACGTAGCGAATTTTGTCTCTGTATTGTTTTTATATACTTGCATCAGAGTCCCTGGTTTTCTCATGGCAATGCTGTTTGGTTGCAACCAGATAGCATAGACTTTGTGTGTTTTGATTCCTGTTATGGGAGAAAGTAGTGTGTCTAAGTGTATTCTTGTTATTCCGGGCTCAGCCAGACCACTGGTATATATCCTGTCTGTCCTTCAAGTGCCACCATGTGTCTGATACTAGCATACAAATTGACTGAGGGTCTTGATGTTACATGCCGTGGCAGCATTTGGGATTTACAGGCAGCCTGCAGACTGCATTGATGCAGGCAGATAATCACTAGACATCCTATTTCATGATTATGTAGTTTTTTAAAATCTATCCCTGGCCTAGGCAACAAAGCAGGAATGCAACTCTGATTATTGTGCTGGTTTTTTGCATGTTTTTCATTAATATTTTTTTCATAAGCAGTTATTTTTTCTTTGAACACACACAG